TTTTGACTTAGCTTAAGGAATGATATGAATAATTTTTCTTAAAATAGAAACTTCATAAGTTCATGTTTAAAGAAAAGATATAGAGAAATTCTCTAAAGCTTGGAAACTTCTTCCCTTTCACTAAAAACCTTTCTTTTCTCACTTCCTACAACCATATCCACTTGACTGGGTAGGAAGATCCAAGCTTGTGGAGTTGAAGATCTTTAGTCAGAATCGTGCATAGGGTTGCTTTGTCTTCCTCTTCTCTTCTAGTCTTTGATTTGAACCCACAAGAGGTAAGGAAAGTTTGTGTCGATCATTAGAGTTGCATGTTGATTGTTGTTGTTGGATATTTAATCTATTATTGATTTCTTAATTGATTGGAGAAAAGATTATGAGTTGTTAGGTTTCCCTTGAAGTTGCATTGAGTTGAATACATTGATTCTTGACCAATGATGGATGCATGTTGTTTCTCTTACTAAAAATGAGCTTGGTATGTTGTAAATATGTTATATAATTGGTTGCATGTGAGTTTTCGATGAATTTCAAATGGTTTGGGATTGAAATCGAGTTCTACGTAGCTGCAAAATTGATATCTTGTTGGGTGTGCCTTTAGGGTGCCAAATGGAGTTTTAATCAGTGTAACACTATTAATTCTATAAGTTATGGTATTAATTATATGAAATTTTGTAGTTTAGGTGTCAGTCATTTTTTAAAACTCTAGGTCGAGAGACCTTGAGAGTAAGTTGGTCTATGGATAGCTGAACCAAAGATAAGTGCAGTCAACTTAGGAAGGTATAAAAGAATTTCTTAAGTTTCAAGCCACATAACTCAAGTTTTCAAAATTCTAGAGAGATAAACTAGTGATAGGTTCTTTGAACTTGAGCAAACCTTTTCCTTTTTCTTCTTCGGCTATAGAAACCTTTCTATTCCCTTCTTGTAGCCGATAAGAGTTGCTAAGTTGAAGGATAAAGTCTTGTGGAGTTGGGGTTAAGTTTTAGAGATGTACAAGTGGGTTCCTTTTTAGATTGGATTCTTCAAGAGGTAAGGGAAACTTTGTGTTTGAAATTCTTGTTGATTGTGTGATGATTTGATGATTAGAATTTGTTGATCCTTAGTTGTGTTGAAATGAAGTTATGAATATTGAAAATGTGATGGAAGTTGAGGTTGGGGAAAATATTATTCATGAGGTATAGTTGATGATTATTACATATTTTTAGTTGCATGTGTTCTTTTGAGTTGTGCATGTTATATATATGCATAGAATACATGGTTGCATGTTGGAATTTTGTTGGGTTTCATGTGTTTGGTCAAATTTTTAGTTTTACAATGTGCGAAAACTGATATCACGTCAAACATGCCTTTAATACGCCAAATATGACTCCAAAGAGGGGTCTCTGTCTTGCTAACATCAGACACATGATTGGGGGGCACCAGACATAAGGAGAGAGAATTGTCTTAGATTGAAATCATGCTGAGCGTGGGTTGAATGACGTCAACGTGAGGAGAGAGACTCGTCTATACCTAGATTCACATTGAGTGCTAATGGAATGGCGTCAAACATGAGTCAGACAAAGGCCTTTTGCCTAATTAGGCCATACATGAGTTTTGTCATGTCAAATGCGGGAGAATATAAGAGGTTCTCTGTTTCAACCATGTCGAACACAAGTAGTTTGGTGTTGGGTGTGGGTAGGATAGGGAGTCCTCTGCCTCGATGGTGTCGGGCACATTGTGAGTGATGTCAGACATGACATGCATGTTGAAAACTTGTTATTTAAAGTTGTTTTTAATTGATTGATGATGAATAAGTTGTATGAATTGTGATGTAAGATGATATATATATATATATATATATATATATATACGCTTGTTGCTCCAAGATGGGGGTGGTACCTGCAAAAGAGACTCCGATGCTAAAGTTAGTGTTTGTGGGAGTATGAGTCTCGTATAAGTAATGCACGTACCTTTGTGTGGATTAGGGTTTTTCTGGGCCTTGGGCCCGAGATCAGTTTATGACTTATTTGGATGTCGAGCTGACGTGGCCTAGCGCATGTCCGAGGTCACGCCGCGCTGAGATGTCGAGTTTGAGCTCGACATAGCGGTACAAATAGTACACACACACACACACACACACACACACATATATATATATATATATGGCTTAAATATGTTTTTAGTCTCTCAAATTTAAGGTAAATTTGTTTTTGGTCCCTCAAATTTAAAACTGTTGTTTTTAGTCCCTGTAATTTTCAAAAATCTTGTTTTAGTCCCTTAGATCACCAATAACATATTTTAAAGTGACTAATTAAGACAGTTATGCGATATTAATCAGATTTAATGTGATATTTTCACTAATAGGGATACCGATAGGTAAATTTTATGTAATAATGTTTGATAAATTTCTTAACAAAATTTGAATATAAGGACTAAAATAAGATTTTTTGAAATTACAAGGACTAAAAATAATAATTTTAAATTTGAGGGACCAAAAACAGATTTATCCTAAATTTGAGGGACTAAAAACATATTTAAGCCTATATATATATATATATATATATATATTGATACGTTATAAGTTGAACATATTGTAAAATTGTGAGTTGTTTTAAGTTGTCTAAGCTATGAAGTTGGTGTTCTATGAAAGTTACTTATGTTGTAATAAAGATGTAGATGTTTAAATTGTTAAAATGTAAGGCATGTGAGTTGAGTTAGTATACATATCATCATTAGAAAATAAATAAGAAGCCTTTGAAACATGTCAATTGCACATGACAAATTAAAAAATCCAACTAAACATGTAATAAGTTTACTTTACGATAAAAAAAAAAAGATTTAATCACCTATATATCGCCAGTGTAAAGTTTTTTTATACTGGCAACCAATTATATCTCTTAATTGTGCCATGTTACTGTTAAAAGTAAATGTGTTTACAATGACATGATATAATTAAGAGATATAATTGGTTGTCAGTGTAAAAAAACTTTACACTGACAGTATATAGGTGATTAACTCTAAAAAAAATACCTAATTACATTTCAGGAAACAAAGATAATTGATGCCGGCCATAATCAATCCACCATAAGTATGCTTTACGAGTTTTTATTCAAATGTTTTTTTTTTTTTTTTATCAATCAAAATTAAACTTATATAATAATTATTCAGGCATCCTGTTCAGAGCTATTCCTGTTAATTACTAAAATGTGTTAATTATAATGACTTGTTATAAGTTTCTAATTTTAAACTTCTTAAACAGTTATAATTAATTGTTTGATTCAATATAAAAATTTAATTTTATTAATATATTTTGAATATGTGAAAAAACAGAAGTATATATCTAAATGAATGCTGAGTACCTTACTAAATTACTAATAGTTATTTAAATAAAATAAAGGCTAAATTACTTATTTGACCTATTGTTTCATTCAATTAGTTCAATTAAAATTTTCTATTATTAAAAGATTCAATTTTTAATCTTTTTATTAAAAAAATTCAATTTAGTCCCTTTTTTTATTTAACAGTTTAATTTTGTACTTTAATTTTTAAAATAATGTAATGTTATTATTTTCGTTCAAATGAGACTGACAATGATAATTCTTTTTACTCATGACATGCACATATTGAAAGTTGTTAATCCCAATTAAACAAAAATAATTGTATTGCATTATTCTTAAAAAATTAAAGAATCATATTAATTTTTTTAATAATAAATAGATCAAATTAAACTAATAAAATAAAATAAAGAAATAATAATAATAATTCAGCGTAAAAATAATTGACTAATGATTGTGTCGCATTGTCACATGTCATTGGAATATGGAAGTGATACACGTTTTCTTGGATTGCGGTCTGCAATCCCTAGTAGAAGGAGGGTTTATGGTGTGAGGCTGAGTCACTGGTTACAAGAGGCAAAGTATAGGAGCCTCCACAATCGACACTCTTAAACCTTTGTTAAGACTAGATGCTACACACACGCCTACAGGCTACCTCAAATGTCACTGTGACCCTCTGGAAATTCTACTGAGGTGTGCAAAGTCAAATAGAGATAGATACCTACCTCAAATCATTAAAATCCAGCAAACATAGGGACTAATTAGATCGAGTGCATTTTGGGTAATTCAATTTTAGTTATTAAATAAGTTTAAATTATAGTATAATGATAATAATAATGACAAACATAAGATTTTTTTTATAATGATAGTGCAAAATTGTGCAATAATTTTCCTTTGGGTTTTCCATCGTTGCCTCTGTGATGTTTTATGTTCGTGCGAATAACTTGTACATTGGTGGATTCTTCCCATTGGTTTCGGCTCTATACTACTAAATAGTAAATACATATGTGCACAGATCTATTTCTGAATGTACACGTAAGGCGCTGCCTAACATAGAATATAAAGATTTGACACCCTTTTCCTGCTATCTCAGCTTTCTTAACAATGCATTCACCAATGGAAATCTCTACTCCATCATGCATCACCACGAATTTTACATTAGTTGCTGTGACCATGGACCCTGAAGCAACTTTGTCAACAAGGTGCTAATTCTTAAGATTAATTCAGTGTAAATTAATGTATATATTCGAATCTCCTCGATGGCCTTTTTAAGTTTCTTATATATATTCATGAGCAATTTCTTCGTTCTTTTCTCATCCGATATGGGAACAAAGGTATTTTTTTAGGCTTTTCTTGATCTTTACTTATTTAATACCATACCAATCACCAAACAATTTCCCTGTCTTTTTAGTAATGGGTTTTCGAAGTCAAAGGAATTTCTTAGACGGCATAGTTCCAACCTTAATGATTATCAATCATTTTCTGTTTTTTTTTGGGTTTCTGTGTCATCACTTAGAAAACAAGAAAGACAGCGCTCCTTTATCGCCACGTTGGCCTTATACTGTTTTTAAATGTACGCGCTTTCTTCACCGTGCGTTTTAGAGTATGAACGTTTCTAACTACAGCCTGGGAATCTCTATAGATGCATGCACAACTCCACGATAAATCACCGAACAAAATTCAACGAAACTCAGAATATTGAAGTAAGATGGACATAATTTACCAGCCTCGCATCAACAGGGAGATTGAATCACTCAGAGAAAGAATCCATCCACCCAGGTACTAATTAAACAATCTCCTTAATTGTGTGAATATAGCACATCATCTTTATACTAAAAAAAATTGTAACACTTGCTGTGTGATTTTTAGTTCATCCGGTTCATATGATATAAATTATAAGATTAATGAATTCATCATATTCAACTTCACATGTTTCTTGTTCTATGAGATCAGGGTCTGTATAGACAACGATTCCTACAGAGATTGCACAGTGGTGAAGGTTAGATTTAATTGTCTAGATACCTACACATTCCAAATTCTATATGTCAAATCACATATCAGTTTTATTCATTATAGTTGAACTTGATTTTGCGGACCATTAATCGCGCACGGCTTTCGCCCACAGATTTTAAACCAGCCCTAGTGGTTGTCTATGCATGATAATGATAAATCACTAATTAGCATTAGGATTAGGAAAAAAAAATATTACACGTTAAATAGATACATGTCCAATATGTAGATAACTCAACCTAAGCTTACATGTTATATATTTGAAAGCATCAAAGCACGATAGTATTAGTAAGAGCTAAACTATTTGAGTTGCCATTCTGAAAACCAAAAGCAAATAACCCTACTTGTGCTTGCTCTTTTCGCCATTACAAGCAGTAAATTTTGCTTGTGTTATAAGTTAATAACTCTCGCTCCCAGCTAATTATTGAGCACAGCATAGCTTTATTCTTCTACAAACAGAAAACCAATTTGGACTGATAGTCGGCAAAAATGTGTTAATCCGGTATCAAAAAGATTCATTTGTTTAGCTATCAGACGGTGACAAACTGGCAATAATTGAAGCAAACCAAGAAAGTAATAATTATTTTTTCTAAACCAAATAGAATTGTAAAAAGTGAAGAGGAAGAAATTAACCAATTACCAAATAAAACTTTATTTATATTTATATTTCTAACATATTAATTTCAATAAGATGTTCAATGCTTACAAACAGATTGATAGCGCGAATAGGCATGGGATATTGTTGGAGATGGTCCAGGCTTTGACAGATCTTGACCTCGTCATTTCCAAATCATACATTTCTTCTGATGGTGGATGGTTAATGGATGGTCAGTATGTTTCCCTTAAGAAACAAACAGGACTTTAATTTGTTATTTACATGCCACAATCCTACACCACCTTTAATATATATTTTTTCTGTCTAAATTGAATAGAGAGACGATTACAAAATACGTTTTCTGTAATTCTATTATTTGAAAGAAAGTATAAAAAAAGGTGTAATATTCCAAAAAAAATATTGTATAATTACAGGTTCATTTGTTTCATAAACATTCATCATAAGTCAACTTGGTAACATTAAAATCCTAGCCTTTCACTTTTGATAATTAATAGATCATTTAATCTACTACACAATAGAGTTAATTAATAGTGTAATTATTGTAAATATTTAGTATAAATTAATTTAAATAAGAATTGAATTTACTTTTTATTTATTTATTAAAGGAGTCTCGATAATAATTTTTCTACTACAATTTTTATTATAAATTAAGTTAAATAAGAAGCGGAAACACAAATTTTCCTAATTCCAAAAAACATTTATAGACATAATGTAAAAAAAAAGTGTGCTAACATTTAAAAACAAGCATCGAAAGAGTTGGACGTCCCTCTAATTGATCTCCACCACCTGCTTTTCGCAGATGCAGATTGAAGTGTCTTATTTACGATCGTAGTCTTCTTTCCTTTTTCTTAATTCATCTTAGTTTACAAAAGAAAAAAAAAAGTGTGTTAATTAACATTTTACTTTTTAGTTATGTGAAAGGTTAATTTGACTCGTGTCTCGTGTTGAAAATTAATACTACGCGAGCACAATAAACGAAAAAAATTAATAAATTAAAATGGATTAATTATTTCTTAACAATAAAAAGGTTAATTGATTTTATAATTTTGTCCATAATGTAAGCATCCTTCATGACTGCACGTTGCAGTGTTCCACGTGACGGACCAGGTTGGAAAGAAGCTTACTGACAAAAGCCTCGTCCATTACGTTCACCAGGTTAACTTTTTCTCATCTCCTTCCTCTTAGAAGCCCTTCAAAATCTATAAAAGTAAGAGGTTTTATAGGCACTGTGCGAGGCTAGAAGCAGCCAAGAAATTTCAAGCGACACAATAGAGCTACAGAACGCGTCAGAGTCCGTTATGAACTTGGCCATAGAGTTGACCACCGCCGACAAGCCGGGCCTGTTCTCGGAGATATCAGCAGTTCTACTGCGCTTGGGCTTCAACGTCACCTACGCAACGGCCTGGACCCACAACGAAAGGGTGGTATGCATTATCCATCTCGAGGACGCAGCCAAACTCGGGCCCATAGACTCGGAACGTTTGGCCCACGTCCGGGAGCAGCTCCAGAACGTGGTGGAGGCCCGCGACGGGGAAGAGGAGGGGAAGAGAGTGAGGCTGAGGTTGAGGAGCTTCGGCGCCGGGCGCAACCATACCGATCGGCGGCTCCACCAGATGATGTACGCCGACGGGGACTACGAGAGTTGCGGTGCATGCCACGGCGAGAAGAAGAACGTGTCGGTGGGTAGATACGAAGAGAAAGGGTATTGGGTGGTGAACGTGAGAAGCAGGGACCGCCCTAAGCTTTTCTTCGATACCGTGTGCGTCCTCACAGACATGAAGTATGAGGTCTTTCATGCTGCCGTTGCCTCCAACACCTCCATGGCTGATCAGGTACTTACAAATATTTACACTTTTTTTATCCACGAGTATGTTCCATGCATTTCGATACTTAACCATATATTACATGTATGTAGTCATGTACTAAAGGTATATTTAAATCAAAATAATAAATAGTTATGTTAGTGACATATTATATAGTCTAATAATAACATATTATTAGACAACAAAATATAATTGAGAAAAGCATAAATGATTAACATTTTTTTATATAGTATATGACTTTTTTTAGCACGTAGGAGGGGAGATTATATGCTATGCATATTTATTATTCATATATACTGCACTAATAGAATAGACTATGTAGAATTTTCCTGTCTTGGAGATGATATTAATGTTAATTACGCAGGAGTACTTCGTAAGACCCAAGGGTGGTTCAAATCTGGACAATGAAAGCGAGAAGCAGAAGCTCATTCAATGTTTAATCGCTGCCATAGAGCGCAGAGTCTCTCATGTATGTTCCATTAGCCCCACATTATTTATTTATCTTGCTATATAATTGTTCTTGAATCTTGATCACTAGAATATTTTTTGACAAAACAAAACGGTAGCAAAAGTAGTGAAGTAGAATATTCTTGTATTTGATCTGCAGGGACTGAAAGTAGACATTCGCACTGAAAACAGAAGGGGGCTACTATCAAGGGTAACACGTGTGATTCGTGAGAATGGACTATCAATAACAAAGGTTCAGATAGGAGTAGAGGGTGAAACAGCAGTAGGATCATTCTATGTTGCAGATTCTTCGGGTCAGGATGTGAACCCAAATATAGCAGAGCTGGTTAGAAGAGAAACCGGTGGGTCCGTTGTTGCAAATTACAATTCGCCCTACACGGTCCCTAGACCTTTATCTTCTGGAAAAACCATGCATGAAACCAAAAGCACTACACAGGTTACACCAAGATTTTCTCTCGGAAGCATGCTATGGTCTCAGCTTGAGTGCCTCTCCAATAATTTCCGACCCATCAGATCTTGAGAACCTTTAATCCCTAGTTATTCCTCTGGAAATGCTTTAATCGTAAACCATTATGGTCTTTCTTTTTATATATTTTTTCTATAAATATTTTTAGAAAGAGCAAAAAAGAAATGAAATAAATCCCTTTCAAGTTAATATATAAATTAAATAATATATTTTAGAATAATTATAATAAAATTTCTACATGTATCTTAATAAATTATTTTTACTATATTTATTATTAAATTATTAGTTTATCTATAAACATATTAATAATATTATTGATATAATATCAAAAATTATAATATACGTTAATTTGAATAGATAAATAATTGTTTAATTTTAAAATATTTATATATATATATTAAAATTATTAATTTTTAATGGGAGAAACTAAAATCGTACTATTATGATATTTGAGGGACTAAAATTGTTCAATTAAAAATTGAAGGACCAAAATCGCGCAATTGCAATTCTTTAAGGACTAAAATTA